ATGATGTCAATCACTGGATCGTTTGGTCCAGACTCGATTATTTACAGAGCGCCGTCATATACAGTAAACTACGGTTATAACGAACTCGAAGGGACCACTATTTTAGTTCGTAATAACCGTAGTTCGTTATAAGCATATAAACAGCATTTATACAACAAATGGTTGAGACTAAAAATAACTTCGTTATATCGGTCAGTTTGTTATAAGCGTATTCGTTATAACCGTAGTTTACTGTAGCTGGAATATTGCTGAGTGCGGCGTTAAACAACAAACAAACAAATCTCAAGTGAAAAGAAGGTTTTCTTCAAAGAGTCAATGAAGAAGTCAATAGAATACTTTCCTTCCTGTTGTATTGTGTAGTTACTACCCGTCTGTGACAACTATGTAGATATTACCTACTCAATAGCGTCATACATTGCTACTTAAACCTCTTGACATAAGTAAGCGAGATACACAAGCATGATCCATATATAGACTGGGGTCTGTATCAAGTGAACAAGTCGTCGTGTATACGACAAGGGGCAACGCAGTGCACAGAAATTGACCAGTTTTGTCTTGCTTTCTCAGGAATATTGATATCTGTGAGTAAAGAGAAAAAGATTTGATAAAGTGTCATAACGATTTCAATATTACTTCTACCTCGGTGGGTTGTACCAGAGTGAACTGTTTGTGCTGGATGCCGAGCTGTGGTGGAAATATACTGGTGCACGTTGGAGATAAATGGATGACCTTACGTGAAGCGTATTTGTCGAAAAATTTAAAATAATTTTGTTTCACTTGAAGGGCAGATAACTCTAAACCACCTGCGCGACTGGGCTGTCGGTTTGTGCACACAAATTTCCGTATAGTTGTAAATACATAATCAATGTTCGTAGGTATCGCAAAATGCAATTAATATTTTTAAGTAGGTACGAATTCCAATAATTATTTGTATGGCTATTAAAAGTACATTTACACAGAAATTTATCGATTTTGGTTAAAAAGAGGATATTTTTCAACGGCGGATCCAGCATTTTTCAAAGGGAGGGGTCCAAAATATCAAAATCCTCTCTCAGATAATTGTACTGCCTACATCATACTACATTTGGTTTTCAAATTATTGGTGTACATGCACATATTTTCTTCAGTGGAAAACTTCAGTTTTGCCTTGATCAGTGATGTTGAGAATTGTTTTACAAACTGTCAACCACGCGCCTAATATTACATATAGGGAGCGGCGCGAGAGGTCTTAATGGTTGGGCCATCCCAGTGGTCTTGTGGATACATCTTTTGCCCGGAGAGCGGAAGGTCGGTGGTTCGATCACTGGTCGCGTCATACCAAATACGTTAAAAGATGGTACTTGTTGTTATCCTGCCTAGCGCTCGGCATCAAGGGGCTAAAACAAGGACTGGTCAGCTTTGGAGTCAGTATACTGTGAATGGGGCATGGTGTCTCGGTAGGTTCGGCATAAAGCCGACATTAGTCTGGACTAGCCCAAGCAGATGGACACACGCACGCACGCACGCACGCACGCACGCCATATAAGAGCAATCATTTTAAACGTTATGTTAAATCCTTTTTCACCTCACCTCACCTAAAGAACTCATTTCAAAAATCGTACGCCGCTTCTCGAAACCTTCCATGAGCGGCGTAACAGGGAACTATTTCGGGCCGCGTGTCACGAGCAGACACAATGACTTAAAAATACTTTCAAGGACACAATACATTTCCTGTCATTCCCTGTCCGTTAAAAAGGTTTGTGACAAAAAGTTACTTGCGTCGAACGAAAATCCATCACAGAAAACCCTAAAATGGAAATATAATGATTGAAAAACGCACATGTCTGTGTGCAGTGGAATTATTTCTGAAAACTGGGTCTGATTCTATTTTGTGTGCTTGAAAGGAGAATGCAATAGACGCATCACAATGCAGTCAATATGCAGGCGCACGACCTGGTTTACACGTGTGTTCGCGCAACACCTGCACGTGGTGAATAGCCCTCTCTGATTAGTCACTGCGTCATGGCGCGTTGTCCTGCGCATAGCTATGAATCCAACGTGACCGGTGCTGAAATGCTTGAAGCTGATTGGTCAATCCATGGGAAACATTATTTCTTTGTTGTTTAGATATAAAAAGTTTCGAAATCAGCCAACGAAAAATTTGATTTGAATATTTATATTTGGCAATACGCTGGGCCTTGTTGGTCTAGTATACGTGCATAAAAGAAATGTATTATGATTTAATTTAATAACATCGTTATGCGTAGCAATATCGATACTTTGCCTGTATATGCATGTGGGTGAGGGGCGTGTTATGTCCCGTGCACGTGTGGTTTGGGCAGAGTTGCGCCCCTTGGTCGTGCCGGAATGCGATAGTCATGGCTTCGAATCCCATAGTCGACCTGATTTTTTATGTTAGTTTTGTACACCATGTATATCAATGCTCGTGGTTTTACATCTAAACTGACATCTAGTCTCTGAAATGAACATATATTGGGAGATAAACAGCTGTTAAATTATAGTTATAAAAATGTAATAAAAAGGAGCCCAGAGACTCTCTTCAATTTCAGATACTGTAGCACATGTATTCTAGACTTGGCAAATAGTATAGACTTGCATAAATAGTTTACCTCCATATATTAAGCTTACACGCTTTGATACAACTCAGATTCTGTTAAAGCGGCGTTAAACAAAACTCACTCACCCACATATAGCATGTTTAAGCAATATCCTTACATCTACGAAAACAGTGGTCAGCGGTTTTTTAAAGAAGTTGAAATATTCCAAAATGTCAAATAAATGAACAAAAACAATCGCCCAATAATGGGCATTTTATTGACTCAATTTTAGGGCCGTAAATGTCGCCCAATCAGGGACCATCTGTTCTCGCGCCTGTATTATGAATGCCCCCCAGATCTAATTAAAGCAAATCGGATGACGTAATTCGATTGTTCGGTGACAATGTAACACAGGTAGACAATTGGGGACATCATGTACCGTATCGATCAAGATATTGGAAAATTATACTGGTGGGGATATAGAGAAGGGTCATTTGAAATATCATCGATTCGGTTGGTGAGGACAATGCTGTGCACGGCGCGTTATAGCGAGGAGCACGTGGCTTTGTTCCCGAATACGAATGACAGTCACATAGTCGTGTGTCACAACTGATTCGGGATTTGATTAGAAGCTATTAAATATTCACGTTCAATATTTCAATAGTCGTAATAAATCCATATATTTATAAACACGTAGACACTAAATCCTGGCGTATTTTTAGTTCAGGGTATTTTTGAATTAATGTGATAGTTGGAGGCCTGTATTTTCGACGAATCTCGCTTTTCTTTCCCGAGTCAAACAGTCGGCGGTTTGACAGGAGAGATCATGGGCTGGGGTTTGATGAGGCGAAAGTCCTCACCTGCTTCTGATTATCACGTGACAACGAGAACGCATTACCCAGACGAACGACTGAACAGGGGACAAACAATTCGAAAAATTGTAGCTAAATTGAAAAAGAAAATGCAAAAATGCTTTAAAAAATCAGAAATAAAAATATACGGAAATTATTATGGATTTTTCTGTCCGTTTATGCAGGATTTATAAATTATGTAATCATTTAAGAACCATGAAGACAGAATCAAGAATTGTATTGTTCAGAACACCCTCGTAGGGCTGGGTACAAACCATCTACATTCGGGAATAAATATAATTATAGACACGAAAGGTGGATATACATAATGTTCATTATATGTAGAGATATTACATTTTATGAATATATATTTTATTACATACATATTATATGTATTATTTCATTCAAGGTGCGTAAATATTTATACCTATCGTGGCACGCTGGCACGCTTAAAAATGACGTAATTAATTCAATACGGGTTACATTCTATATCGTATAGTGAAGGCACATGTGGTCAGTTGGTTGTGTTGTCCGAGCTGGACACGGGTAGATTACGGGGGTGGCTATCGTCATGTTTGTGTACGCTGACGTAATACTACATCACACACACACGACCCAACCCACACGCATCAGTCAGCCATGTGCAGAGGTGGTCACGTGACCCTGACAGAAACGTCCACAACATACGTCTGTGGGGACGTACTAGGATAAAGAGTGTGTATTGTAGCATGCCGGGGATATTTAGCAGCGGAAATACGCAATATAAAAGGTGAGATATAGGTCTTACTTAAAAACTACTGGTCGAAGAGGTTATTTTTAGTGCATATGTCTCGTAAACAACAACTTGTGTTAAAGTTTACGCAATTTATGGATAATTACTTCTTTATTTTCTGTAAAGGCGACGTTTCGGTATAGATCCTTATACCGTTGTCTACTTTGTCAGCTGTCAGTGCCTCACAAACAATTAATATGGTATTAAATAAGGGGTACTTGTGGGCTTGTCGTGTGCGGTATGATAAGTACAAATGATTATGCAAGCCTTTGTGTGAAATTTCAAAGTATATGTATTAAAAACTAGTCAGGTCAAAAAACATCTCTTGTACGTTTATATTTCAAAATAAATAATTATGATTAAATAAATCAATAAATGTATAAATAAATAAAACATATTTTTTGGAAACATAAAACACGTGGGAAACAACCAAACCGTAAACATTAGCGTGTGAAATGAACATCCCACTCCGGCAGAAACATCCCACGATTTCAAAATATTTCGAGTGTAGCAACCTGTCACGTTCGTTGCAATACACATCACAATGATTAAGGTGTGATTTCTAACAATAGCTCTCAAACACTCATCTCAAAGGCTCGCGACCCGCTCAAGGCGTGTGGTATTTCTTTTCCGGGTATGCTATTCGGTGTTATAAACACCGTGGGTTGTATATATGCAAATATCTCACCACTCATGCGTAACATTGAACCACCCCCACCATACCGCAGCGAAATGACTGGTTGATACATTCTTGATTATGCACACAGCGAGGTCAATTTACAAATTATGCAAGGTCAGAGGTAAACATCCGGGGTTTGCCAGGTCTGTTTTTGACCTCCATTGACTGAAGATCTGCTAATCATGTCTGGCCAATATAAGTAAAGATATAGGCTTGTTTGAGCGTTCGTAGAGTCGTCTGCTAGTGGATAATAGAGTATACACCGCCTCAGAAAGGATTTTATACTGCATTTGAGAGGTGAGTGGGAAATTTGTATTTATAACATGGCTCCGCAAACGAGCAAGTGCGCGTGAGATGAGGAAGACGAGCGCATCTCGCCGATATTCAACATCTGCAGCAGCCCGGTGCCATGTCGTCTTGGATTCCAAAAATTGGTTCCCAGGCGGAAGAAAATGGTTTTATGGGAATGGGCATGCCTGCAACTTATTATGTTTGAATTTATACAAGCATATCGTTGTTTTGGTGGCGTATTTTGCTTTGTTTACAGATCATTTGGAGCCAGTCTGAACAATGGTTGGAACTGTTAGCTCTCGTGCTCGTCACGCCGGTTGACACATGATGACTAAACCCCCCCAGACGTCATCTTGCCTTCCTTTTACAATCTTGTATTTATTTCTGTTGAAATCCACTTATTTGCCATTCAGAAACATTTCTTATCATGTACGCGAGGCGTATGAATCGCATCTGATGCCAAGAGATGAAAGCGTCAGTGGGAACCAGTGGCTATGATTCATACGTTTCATAATGGCTATGCTGTAACGGAGTGGACCGGCGTCCGCAGGCATACTTACACCATACACAATATCAAAAGATGGGTTTCTGGGACATTATGGAAATCAGACGGAATAATATTTGTGTAAATATCCAAACGTGTGATATTTAAATTGGTTATTTCTGTATACGTAAAATGTAAACAATGAATGTAAACATTGTGATAGATGAGTTGATCAGCATTTAACATAGATCAAATTATGTATCATAGCAGCACAAAATTAATCAAATGTAGCTAATTTGATGTAAATATTTTTTCTTTTCAGAATTTTGGATATAAATTTTAGAAAAAAATGAACAATTGATATTTTTAGGACTTTGGACCCACACACTTGTGTGGGAATATTAGGTGTTCCTATCACTAAGTAAAACAGTGTTACACAATCTGTAACAGAAGTATCAGTCCAAGGGGAGATAATCTTGCATCCAGTGTTTACCTCGTGACACTGAAAGCACTTGAATGGTTGGATGTGAAGGAAATTGTTGGAAGTGGTCGAGATCATAGATAAGAGGTATTGGCTGAGGGACGAGATCAAAGGCCATGCTTAATCACCCAATTGTGTTGGTATGTTTGTGAATGAAAGATAGAATAGCTTATGAAAATTGAAATGTCTTTAACAAATCTAAAGCTTGTTTTCGGAAAAGGTATGCTTGTAAACAGGAATATGAGGGACTTAATAGGTTAAAATTTTGAAGTTTGTTTTCCCATTTTGCCCCATTTGATATTGAACATTTGAAATATTTTTTTCCTTTAATATTTATTACTTAATATTTGTTTTGTTAATACAAAGACAACTGAAGTATGAAATAGTGTTCTGATTGTCTTTTACCTGGATTTAAAATGTTTACAATTGTAGGCAATTTAATCAGTTACCAAAAACATGTTCTTTAACAATTAATATGAAAGATTTTAGATAGTTGTCAGATACAGGTTTTGCTACCATTGGACCCTAATGGTGAGATCCATGTCATCAGAATAGCAATAAATTTTTAATTTAACCCACATGATGTGGAATGGTTATGGATATTTGCCATCATTCGTCTTTAAGTGGACACATGCCTATTTTCCCAATATTTGTAATTAGAACCGAATACCTTCACTGGGTATACAAGCTGTCAGCCTAGTCTGGTCACTGTTCACTTCATGTAAACTCATCACAAGATTATCAACACATTAATTACTGGACGTCTTGGCTGACGTGCATCTCCATTTAAAACTCATCCTGCTGACAACTGTTTATTTTTGTATTCAGAATCGCAGAAATAAAAGTACATGTAGAATCACGGTCAGGGAGGGCAGGGAAATAGATAAGTAAGACAGATAAATAAATAAGTTGTGCTCGTGTTCTGGAGGGTCCATCTTCATTCGTCATTTCTGCTGATGACCGCCTCCGTGGTCTATTGGTAGAGCGTCCGCCCGGAGAGAGTGGAAGGTCCCGGGTTCGATCCCCGGCCGCGTCATACCAAAAGATGTTAAAAGATGGTACTTGTTGTTACCCTGTCTGGCGCTTGGCATTAAGGGGCTAAAACAAGGACTGGTCGGCTCGGAGTCATTATACTGTGTCTGAGTGGGGTATTCATGTTAAACTGTGGCATGGTATCTCAGTGTGCTAGCACTATAAATCGGCATCAGTCCGGACTAGTACAAGCAGCCACACACGTACATGCACGTCGCTTTATATGCAATAATCTTGGACGCGACGTTAAACCCAGTTTCACCTCACCTCATTTCTGCTGATGGACATCTGTGTTTAGTTTCTGCAGGACAGTACCGGTACATGCTCAATGTTCAGTTTGTGTTACAGTCCATGTGTAGCCACGCTTTGTTTTTCGATGTTCAGAATCCAAAAGTCACAATCAGAAAATATTATAAAATTAATTTGAATGTAATTTTATTTGCGTGACTGCACTGTTGTCATGGTTATTGATTGATTTGAAAAATAAACCTATGTTTGATTATGGTTAACAGCTTTTGCTGAGCAGTTATCTTGGGTCAACTGAAATAAAAATACACTTGTGTAGCATACATTATACTTGTAATACTTGTACAATGCATTGATTTATATTATACTTTTAATTATATAGTTAATAGTTGCTTTCATTTTGTATTATTTTTAAAGTTCTTTCTTTTTGTTTTTATTTTCCATTGAAGTTGAATATGGAGCTGTTTGGTGAAAAAACAAGAAAAATTTACACAATTTTTAAATTTACCTTCTGAAATTGGCTCTTGGCTCCAGTTGGTCAAATCTATAAATGAAAAACTTTAATAATTATCACTGAGGTCTCCTTTCATGCTAATTTGAAAGCTGTTGTCATTTATTACTGCATATTTGTTATTTGTTATATAGTTATATGTTTTAGATATTTAAAAAAGAACTTTGTCAGGTGTTATTGGAATAGAATGGATTATACATGGTATACAGCAATTTTAACAAGCCATGCTGTTCTGAATGACTCCGTTTCATGTATGGTATGGTATATGGGTAACAATATGGTATGGTGTATGAGTAACAATATGGTATGGTGTATGAGTAACAATATGGTATAGTGTATGGGTAACAATGTGGTATGGTATATGGGTAACAATATGGTATGGTATATGGGTAACAATATGGTTTACTGTTTTCAGGTGATACCAATTTTCTCATATGATGGGTTTACAGTGAAGTTTATTATATTCAGCGACTCCCATATTTTTATTATTACATAAATATGTAATATCCTTTTGATATAATTATTTCATATATATATTATATTTAAATATTGTTTCATAAACTATTCAAAAAGAACATAACAGTTTACTCCAGTGAGCACCTGCAACAACTTGCGGTCAGTTCTGAGGTCTCCTCTAATCATGTAAGGAGGCTTGTTCCAGACATATTTTTGCCAGCTTGCAAAAAAAGGAAACTCGGTTCAACTTGTTGGGGAAGTCTTTTCCCATGTTGTGGAAGGGTGGGAGTTATTTTCTTTTCTTGCTGGAATGAAACGGAAGCCATACCCAAGTGAGGACACAGCCTTTACACTGAGGCCACTGACAGATCCATTGACAGACAGGTTAGCATGGCGGAGGTCGGGGCACCGTGTGTTGTGGGGTAGGGGGGGGGCTTGTCATGTTCTGGGAGCTATGATGGTGGGAGGTGGGGGGGCACCTTGTCATATTGTGGGCTAGGGGTAGCGATACCTTGCACACGTCTCTAAGGCAATAATAATTAGTTTAAATTATAAGTTCTAGAATATGTAAAATAATAAGAACATGTTGTGCCTATAAGAGACTGGAGTCCTTGCACTGTCCACATATTTTGACCTGCCTGTTGAGAGGATAGAGTTATTGCCCATCCATGAACTTTTCTTTCAGTACAGCCTAGGAGCAAGGCTAGGGTAGGGATTGTACAGGTCTCTTGGTCTGTGCTATGATAAAGTGGAGGTCTTTTCGTCTTTGGTGGAATTCTGTATTTGTATTGTATTGTTCTAGACATTCTACATAGTTAGAGGCCCTTGCAGGCCATATTGAAAGCAGAGTTAGATCGTATTTAAATAATCATGTTGGCATTTTTATATGATTGTTTATATTATTGTTCATAGATTTGTGTACTAAGGGTTTTGTATGGGACATGTTTGTATGATTGTTTATATTATTGTTCATAGATTTGTGTACTATAGGTTTTGTATGGGGCATATTTATATGATTGTTTATATTATTGTTCAAAGATTTGTGTACCATAGGTTTTGTATGGGGCATATTTATTTGATTGTTTATATTATTGTTCAAAGATTTGTGTACCATAGGTTTTGTATTGGGCATATTTATATGATTGTTTATATTATTGTTCATAGATTTGTGTACCATAGGTTTTGTATGGGGCATATTTATATGATTGTTTATATTATTGTTCATAGATTTGTGTACGAAAGGTTTTGTATGACAAGCTTAACCCTTGCTTGCCAGAAAGAGCTTGAAACATGTTGATGTGATGTACAGCGATACTGAGTCATTTATCCCTGGTGTTCACTGATTTCTGAACTATCAACACATGGTAAGATGGGGCGTGATGACACGCAACCAGCCAGCCTTGCACCAAACAACCAGCTCAGCTGTAGAAATTAATATTTTTAAAGACTAGGGCACCAGTGGAAACTTTGTTTTACTATTCCTCCACGTTTCTAGCTCGTCCTGCTTGAAAGAACAAAACTGTTTGCTATGTTTACATTTTCAGTTTTATTTAGTTCAGTTTGTAGCAAAATTGAATCATTGAGAACTTGTTCAGAGTAACACACTTTAAATGCTACTGGTCTATGAGGACTACTATTGTTGGATTTTAACTTAGCCTTGCTCCAAGGCTGTACTGAAAGAAAAGTCCATGGATATGTAGTAAATCTATCCTCCTAATAGGCAAGTCTAGTCACTCACTCACTCACTCACTCACTCACATGGTACAGTGATGCCAATTGCAATGACTGATTTCATC